TAAATATAATAAAATAATATATAATAAAAACCTTAGTTATAGCCTAATTCAAGATTCCTAGATACTTGACCAAACAGAGTGCTCCTGACATAAGAAAGCACACGGAGATTAAGAAAACTACAGAACAGCAAACATTCAGGCAAGAACAAAGCTATTCAGTGATCTAGAGCACAAACACAGCACCATTTGCATCTACAGGAGTGTGCTTAATTACATCTCATTTTAGCAACTATAAATTCCGAAAGATAAAACTAAAAAGCTCATTTAAAAAATATACGTACGATTTTAACTTTTTAGGACGATCAAAGCATGAAGACAACAATTAGACCAATTTTAAGGATTCACAATTTTAGAGACTGAAATGCTTTCACAGTTGGAAGTACCTACCTGTTTCTTGAGTCGGGAAACTGGATGAAATCGAGAACGGTAGCAACTTGCACAGTTCATCAGTGGTTTTATGACCATGTGTTCCTGATTTACAAAATCATAGACAATACACAACAGTTTCTTTAAACTGTCCTAATCGTATGCAGACCTAGACTTATACTTAATTTTATGCAAGCCACCTATAGTACTGAAGTCAATAAAGACTTCCAAATGTCTGAGGGCTGAAAGCAGTAATCAGCACAGTAAGTGTTTAAAGCTTAATTTCTTTGACACATTTTAACTATGAAACCTGACAGCAGCTGACAGAAAAGCAACTAAGTACTCTCTTACTGCAGTAGCATGCAATATAGCTTAAGAAACTAAGAAGAGCTGCAACTAATAAATGGAAGATTTATCTCACAGGTTGCTGTATGATATTGAAAGAAGTAATCCCAAAATTAACAGCAAATTGGGGAGAGCAAATATAATAATTGCTAATGTTGAGAAACATGTATTGCTAGAAAAAAGTGTTCACAAATTCACAGTATAGAGGTGGATACAAAACACACATCCATTAGTAAGCCACAGTTATTTATAGTGTCTCAGAGAAAGAAAATCTCAAATATTACATACCTCAGTGGCTGAGCTACAGCTGTTCTACATACCTTTTGGATAATTCAGCAGATAAACAGGCAAGGTATTGATACAATTTGACAAATAAAATCAACTGGAATCACTATAATTTACAGATCAACCACGTGAATAAGAAGTGGTTAAGCAAACAAATTAAGGTACAGTAAGAAAGGGTAATCTTTTGGAAAACTTTCTGTACTTATTTCACTGCAAAACTAGAAAAAACATACTTTCACGATTTTTTACTTGGAGGAATACTTCATTTCCACATAAAGCTGCTGTCAAAGATTCAGTCACAAGGCTCTCTAAAATCAGATTTGGCATCCAAAACAACTGAAAAAATCTTATGACAGCATAATATGGATCCCTACCTTAAAAGCAAACATGTCCTCATCCGAGAATCTGCAGAGAAGAGTAATTGCAAATGCAACTATCTGATTAGCTACGCCTCTGGGAAATGCTTCTAGATTGATCTCTCCATGGCTTAAACGATCTCTTATACGTGGACCCTCCTGGTGGTTCAAGAAATCCCAGAGAAATTCCTGTAGAAATATACACCAAGCGTATAGAATTCTATTCTATGTGTACTCACATAGAACAGAATATATTCAGTGTATAGAATACCTCTGAAAGATAAATACGTGATCATGTCTATAGGAAAGGGGCATTTAGATGGTCAGAAAAAACAATGTAAACTATGCTAGTAGCAAAAAAATAAAAAAAAGGCAACTTGTCCATCTTGGTAGCTTCTGAGGAAATTCAAAACTAACATACATGCTATTTCATGAGAGGTAACAACAGATTTCCTTCAGCTTTGTGTCCCAAATGTTCCACAGCCCCACTGCCTCTGACAACAGGACAACAAGCTCAGGTCTCCCCTACAGTCTCAAAAGGCCTCTAAATTCAACACCCCACATTCACTATCTGTTTGGGTGGCAAGATGCAGGATGTGCTCTGGTAGGCTTGCAGCTATGTTTTTGTGCCATCTGTCCAGGGAGTTTAAGATGTGTCCCAGAAGCAATCAGAAATAAGTTTTAATTTTCCCTGTATGAGGCATCAGTTTTTCTTCTGCTCCATTCAGCTGATCTTCAGAAGTCTGAAGAGAAATATCTCTGAGACTTCTATATTTCAGAAAGACAGACAGTCTTATATCCTAACCCGATATAGCTTATCAGGTACTACTTTGTATCCTGCACAACGAAAAAGGGTAACAAGCTTCTGGTTCTAAGCTGCTGGAGATAAGCCATGTGAAATAAATAAGTATTAGGCATGATCATAAATATATTACTAAATTTTTAAAAACCCAAAACAACAACAAGAAAAAAAAAAGAAAAAAAAAACCAACAAACTTTCAAAGCACTTGCCATGGCAGGTTCCTCAAGAACTGCAGGAAGCTGGTTGACTTCTTCATTATCCAAATGCTTTGCTAGCATCTAGAAAAAAGTAATTTGAAGAGAAACTTATTATTGAAAGCCAAACAATCAAAGAAAAAACACCATCTAAAATAATTAGTTTCCCTAATTTAGGCAATTACTTCCACCATTCAAGAATCAAGGTGCCTAATTATTCCTGACGAACAATTTGAGATAGTTCAAGAGAGTTGTAAAGTTGAGGATCTCTGCTTGCAATGTTTATTTGTATTTATTTTGAATAACTGAATCTAGGAAAAATGAGAATGTTTGTTTCTGTAAGATGAAGAATTTCAAGATAAAAACATTTGGAAGAAATTAAAGTCTGTTTATTAAAACTTGTATTAATTTTTATATTTTCTGGGGGATTCCCAATGTAAAGTGTTTACTGTCTGTCATCTTCTATTCGGAAAAGATTTAGAAATAATGTCTTATCCAACACAGGAAAGTGCTTTCTGGTGTCTAGTAATGGGAAACATGCATGTGCTTAAATTCTGACATTGATATATATTAAAAAAAAAAAAAAAAAAATCACAAGTACCTCATCGAAAGTGGTGTAGAGAGCAGAAGGCTAGAACAAAAGACAATTAATATTATTTGATTTTCAAACGAAAACAACTAACTAGACATGCATACCAAACTTATATTTATTCATTTGCATGAGACACCAGAGGTGCATGAATAGTGAAAAAAAAACCCCTTACAAATGAAAAAAAGAACTGTTGGATTTTGTGCCAAGTTTTTTAAAATAAATATAACGTGACCTACTTTTCAGCCTAAACTACTGTTTCTGAACACTAACCTTCAAGTGCGTTTTCAGACCTCTTTTACTGGCAGACATCTTTACAAAAAACTAAGAGGCATTCATGAAAGTCTACTGGAAATTTGTAAATAATGTTCCACAATTGATTGAAAAATTCTTGGGGAAAATCTGTAAATGTTTAGACACTATGCTTCTAGAATAATTATTTTGCAAATATTGTTAGCACTAAATCATAATTGACTTTAAATAGAAATTTTACCTCAGCTGTTAGCAATCGATTTGGACATTTATTAGTTGTAGTGAAGAGCAATCTAAGTCCAACTTCCAGCTGAGGAAGTAAGAGAATCACACAGTCAGCATACCTGAAAAAAATAACACAGATACCCAAAGGGGTTTTCCCCCCTTATAAATACAATCCAAGTGGAAACTAGAGCCATCTCAGAGTTATACTCTCAGGCCAAACAACCCAGCCCAAAATTCCTTCGCAATGCACTTCGTGAACAAAAAATAAATGACTACCTGTGCCCAACAGAAGCTGACCACCAAATCAGAGATGAGAATAACTTACAAAAAGGTGGAGCATGGGAGAGGAAAACAAAACAATGCAGGTTTTTTTTTTTTTTTAAACTCAGCACATTAATATCTGAAGATTTGTTTCCCCTTGCTTTGTAAAGCTCTCCTTTTTGGCTACACCTGCAATAATTCTTTTTAGTTTTCAAAATATAGTTTATAATCCTAGTTGGCACAAAATAAAGTAGTAAGTCCACAAACTTTCTGAGAGACCACCATAACAATGCATAACTGTATGTTGTTAAGCAACAAGATTTAGCAAAAAGGTTTGGTATCTACAAATGCTGCTATTATTCTAGAAATACAGAATATATTCTTTTTATATTCTATTAAAAAATAGGAATTAAAAAAATAAATCTACTGTTACCTGCTTTGCTTGAAAGCTGTTAAAGCAGCCATCCAAAATGGTAACATTGTTTTTAATACAAAACTGGACAGTTTTACTAGCTCTTCAGCTATGGAAAGTGTTTCATGATTAAGATCTGCAAGTTAGCAAAACAACATTGATAAACTACATACAATCTACGGTTTACTAAATCATTCTTAATATTTCACTGAAAATATAAGATTATTTCAGCATTTGTAAAGGGAGACTTAAAAGTTATCCAATTCATTTTAACTATGCAAGTACAATGGAAGTCATATTCAAGATCAGAAATTGAGTTTGTAAGATTGCATTTTTAGTGATAATACAAAATTACAGAGTAAAAACGGTTAAAAAGTCATGGCTGCTTTTTACTGAGACTGAAAGACTACACAGCAGCTGGACCTAGCTTCTGTTGAGTTGTTCTCCACCTACTACAAGTATTTTTAAAAAGTGTAATATATATTAATCATTTTAATTCCGTAAGAATGGGTACAGTAGTGCGAACATTTGAACATAAGCACATTGCACCTACTTTATCAATTTTCTGTGATGATATTTAGCATAATAAATTAACACTTCATACTTCAATGATACCATATAATGAAACTCACACTTACGAATTCACATTTTAAATATCTTATCCAAGAGAAAGCTTAAAATGGCAAATGCAACTTGATTACAGTAGGTGTTTTTTCGAAGCAAATCAATAGCTATAGGATTTATACTACATGATGATTGGAATGTTATCAGCTTGATTTGGTTCCCAAAAGCCCTGTCTCAGTTCCGTGAACAGATGTTCCACTGGCAAATTGATTACATAGCACAATCTGACCATGACCACCATTGACACCAAGCTTCCCCATATGCTGTTGTTGCTTTAAAAATAGTAGGAATAAACCAAATAAGGTCTGTAGCCAGGGAGATGAGAAGATTTTAATCTGATGCTTCAGGTCCTTTCCTAAGAAAAGCATCAGTGTACTGAAGATGTGTCACGATGGTTCACTCTGCTTTAGCACTACCTTTCCTGCAAGATACTCCTGCTGGGACCCTTGCAGCTGGAACCCACTGATTCTGGAAAGAATCAGATTTTGTAAAGGCAAACTAGATGACTGTTACATGAAATGAACTCCATCATCAAAAAACTGGAACATACAGTTGAAGTCTTTTAGAAGCAGTAACGTTACATGTTTCAATGTGTTATAATTATTTTACAATGCAGTAGTGTGTGATTCAATAGTCAGTGGAACTGCCTACATATTAAAAAGCTGTCCTACAAAAATGATTGATTAATCTAATAACAGTGTATACAGGTATCTTAGTTAAGATTCAATATTAGAACTGTGAAAAATGCATTATTTTCAACTGCACTTTTGGACAATGGAACAGTAACAAATATAGCATAATAAAAACTTGCTAATGGTTAAATACTTGCCTGGAAATACATCAAGTTCCTCTAAGCTAACGAAGATCACATAAGGTCGATGTACTAAAACGCATTTAGTCTGCAGAAGATATGTCTGTAACAACTGACCCAATCCTGCAGTTAAAAAAAGCAGCATAGCACAATATCTAGGGAGAATACCATAATATATTAGAAAAGATTATACAACTAAATTTTTGCAAAGAATCAACATTTGTGCGTTGGGGACAAAGGTTTTTTTTGCTCTTTCAAAGAACATCCAAAACCTTCGCTCCTCATCTCTTTTGAGTACAGGCACTTAATAATTAATTGCATTCACAAGCATGAAAAAACAAAAGGAAAAAAGCATCGCTGTATTCTACATTAGCTGCTGCTGCTCCTCCTCCTATCCCATTCCTCTGCCTTTTGTTCCGAGTTATTCCTGACTGTCCTTACAGACAAGGAACCAGGTTTCAAAAAAAGACCTTAAGCTTTCTTGCTTTTCCTGCTAGTAAAAGAACACTGGTCCTAAAGCTGACCAGCTTTATGGTGGCTGAAGTATTCTATGGGAATCCCTTTCCAAAAGAAGTGGCAGCAGCAGGGGAAAACTGTCAGGATACTGCTAGAGGCCTCTGGATGTTTTTAGGTTTTTTTAACATTTTTTTCAATAAGAGCAGTAAGTTTTACTAACGGCTTTTCAAGCACTCTCAAGTCTGGTAAGAAATCGAGATGCTTTTTGGTAACTTACTTTGCGGGAATTTCTTCTGGGGATGCAAACCCATGCCACAAAACATTACGAAGATTCAGACCATACGGAGATCCAATGAATACCCTCAGTACATTCATCTAATTAATAAACAAAGTGATTACTGCATGAAGAAATCTATTATTTATTTATTACCTTGTATCTTTCTCTGACAGAAAATTTCAGATGTTATTGAGAAACTACAATGTCTACTGTCAAGATCACTGGCCACAAGACAACTGGTCAAAGCTTGTCACAGTAACAGCAACTCACTATTTGCAATTCCCAGTATTCTCCGAAAGGAAATCTTTCAGCTTAGTTTTACATGCTATAGAATATAATACCGGAAGAACAAAATTAGTTATTAGACAAACAAATGAGACCAAGTTTAACGCTTACTTCGCGTAGTATAAATCCACTTAATACAAATTAACATAAAATACAGAATTTGCATTCAAAGATGTATTCTCAGATCACTATCAAACAAAAAAGGAAACTTTGTTTTTATTTTTTAACTGTAAGAATTGAACCATTCCACATGCCATCAAAATTCAAGAAACAATCCTTGTAACACTACTGGTCTGGCTAACAATACAAGCTTCTGCAGTTCACATCCAATATTTTGTCCTAACAAAGAATTTACATTTGTAAAACTGTATGAGAAAGACCACCTACTCTATAAATGTCACCAGAATTTTGTTTTTATTATTTTTTTGCACACAGGGATGAATAAATTAGTTTCCTCTATTTTGAAAAATTCTAGTGTGGTAAATGTTGTAAAGCATCTTACTACAGTGATGGTGAAGGAGAACACAGACTATCAGAAACAGCCAGTGCAGGACATGTATTTTCAAGTAGTGCAACTCAGAAAGAGGCAGACAACTCCGCAGCTTGCTCACCTCTTTGACAGATATGTGAAATTTCACATATGTAGGTTTTTCATGTAGATAAGCAAATAAGAACTTATGAGCTTGTCTTAAAAAATATTTCCATTTACAGTAGTCACTATTTTTGCCATATATATCCCAGACCGTAACATGTATAAAATAAAATTTTTTCCCATATATTACAGAATTTGCAAACTCTTCTTCAGTGCAAGCAAAGGCTACGCTTGGAAACCTGCCATTTGGCAAGAAGAAAACCAGCTCAGTATTTATTACTTATTTCAAAACTATACACTTACTACAGCTTGTCCAAAGACAACTGCAAGCTGCTCAGAAGCAAGCAAGTCTCTTAGAAGGAAAGGGCAATCTTTACCAATCAGTAAATATACCTATTAAAAAAAACAACAACAGATAACACCAGTAATTCAGTGTACTTCTTTGCATTTCAAACATACAACTTGACTATTTCACCCAGTAACCATTTTAATTATTGTAAAAACACTAATCAAACAAAACCCACCAAATCCTTAGAAAGGCTTTAAATTCTGTAATTTCATGACAAATTAAAATTTACAGAACATATCAGGAAAGAG